CTTTCTGTCCTAACCATACTGCTGTGTAACTAGGATTTTGTGTGATTTTTACGATATGATATGATAAGTTTATCTATCCTAATCAGCCCGGTCTTGATCAAACAAAGATATATTACTGTGATCAAAAAGTATTGAAATTATTTGCCCACATTTAATTTACTTATCAGATTTGAGCAGGATTATAAGCGCTATTCACGAGTAAATAATGTCAATTACTTTTGGAAATATTTAAAGCTAAAAACTACAGTATACCCAGTTACTATAATCACATAATAATGATAGACCAGCAGTTGTTTCAAGTACCACGTATTACTGTAATCAAGAAAGTACGGGGCGCATCTTATCACTGTTATCAAAGAGTTTAAACGTCCATTACATTCAGTTGCCACTGTATTCATATTAAGGTATTTTTAAAGCTTTTGTTGCAAAAATAAGTACCTGTTTTATTGGCTAATTGCAGTTTTGCTGTGCTGAAAAGCTTGCATTTTTATTCAGGATTTTGCAAACACTGCCCATTAATCATGTGGCCAAGCCCATGGCCAAATGTCATACACCGAATCCATGGACAGCCGCCTTTTCCTTACCCACCTTTTTGCGGTTTCACTTTCACGGTGCTCACGCAACAGATAAGTATGTGTAGCATATCTTTCACAGCTATTTGAATAAATTTTGTACGTAGATTCATCCAGCAGCTAGCAAATAAGTTTGACTACGTTAATAACTAAGGCTTTGAAGCTTTAACTACAGACGTACGTGAATGCTAAGACCCAGTTCCTTGAGTTTTTGATTATCATGAGAAGTTTGATAACTCAGACTTGAGGGGACGAAACGATCATCAGAATCGCCAGCAGACTGACTACCAGGGCAGTGCAGCACTGGTCAAAGCAACTGAAATAGTTGCTAGCAAAATAATTGTGGGATAAAACTACGAACTGCAACTGATCAAATAGAATATGCAAAAAAGCGAAAAACTCAAAACTTCAGGTGAAATGTAATTTGCAGTGGATGTATGGACTCGTCAGAATCCGTGAATGGTCATAACTATGCGAAATACATCGAACCACCAGAACTACCTTTGAGGTATAGGACATCTCTAGATGGGACACGTTATTCGCGTAGCCGTCGTCATCGTTATCGTCACCGATCGGGACAAACTCATGGTATTATCGAGAAAATCCGGAATTTTTCGGAAAATACTACGGCACACGGTGTCCGCCGAATATTCATTGCCCGGAATGCTTATACGGCACGGCTGTGGCTGTTCGGAATAATCCTTTGCTTTGTCATTCTTATTGTACAGGCGCATCATCTAGTGATGAAGTTTAATCGATATGAAAAAATCACCAGTATTGAGGTAAGCTAGTTTCCGGAAATTGTTCCAGACAAACCTACTCACTGTGATTTACAAGTGATAACGATTTGGACAAAATATTGATGGAGGAGGGGTTGAAAAATTGAAATTTACGCACTTGCATGGGAAGCGACTGTGACTTTATTTTTCAGGAAGCACTTTCATACCGATTTCTAACTTCTTTAGAAAGCGAGATTCTGCAAATTCAGCATGAAGAATTACTGTAACCTCTTTTTTAAGAAGCGCATTACAGTACTTTGTTTTTTTTTTTTCTGAATCGAAGTTCGCTGTATTTCGACATTTTTGTTCATTCCCAAGATAAATTGATGTGCCAAGTATCAAGTATAAGTAACAAGTTTACTCGGACATTCGGTGTAGGTGTCCCATGCCAGCGATATTATTGTGATGCTTCAGTACGCCGGGCGCAGTTGTATCAAGTCCGCTCCACACTGAACTGTACGTCATCAATTAGCTATCCAACCAAATCCTGATTCATTACTTAAGTTATGCGTTAACCGCAGTAGCCACCTTTCCGGTAGCATTGCTAACATGAAATTCCTAAATCAATCGCTCGGACGAAATGTGTCAACAATGTTGGTAAAAAAAACGCCTGCCTTACTTCTATTGTTGATTTAACACCTTAGCAGTCAGATTGTACATTCGTAGCATTTTGCAAAGTACCACTACAAAGAGTACTATTACAGAATTTAGGTTTCTTTTGAAAATAAAGCTGGTACTGAAATGGTACTGAAATTGAATGGTACTGAAATATAAGACGCACAATGTTTTATGGTTTTCGTTTCTGAAACAGAAAAAAAATCATTCATTTTTCAGCTTAGATTCGACTATATGCAGTTTCCGTCGGTGACTTTTTGCAATTTAAATCCATACAAAAAAAGCTTGGTTCGGCTGGTACCATCGGTGAAAGATACGGTGAGTCAATCAATTTATTACAAGAAAAAAACCAAAACTCCCTCTCCTGCTTCACTTTTCACAAAAGCCACAAGTGGTAGCTCGAAAAGTGGTAGGAGTGGTAGCTTGTTGCAAAATAAGTACTTCTAATTTTCATTATCTTCTGAACCTTCGAATAGTGATGTATTAGCCATTACATTGTCGTCCCCCACACTCCTGAAGATTTGAAACATTTGAATTGTACGGCATTCATAAATAACTTGGAATCTAACTGCTACTACTACAAGCAGTGAACACTTTTCCAGTTCCGGCCGTCCTTTCGCGGATATCCCGACACTGACTGTATTATCCATAAAACCAATCTCTAGCAGCTATATTTAAAATTTTAAACGATTATTTACTTTTTTCTTGCAGATGGATGTTTACGAAAATGCAAAATCTGGCCGCAAGCATCGTATAAAAACTCCTGGGCCATTTCGAGCAAATCGTAGAGATCAGTTGGATCAGAAAGAACGTCTGTTGGAGCTTTTCAGCAGTGAGCAGGAACATGATTTAAGCGTCAAATACTGGGGGAATGTGAAATCACGAAGAGAGATCAAAGCCGAGCCCCCTGATGGTACCAGTGGTACTGAAACAACGGAAGAGACAGGAAGTAACAGAAGTCACAAGGCTGCTTCAACTTCTACAGCTGACTTTACATTCAGTGTTTCAACGTTAAGCAGTCTGACTTCAATATCAAGGAGAAAACGACTGGTACGTTACTTTTACCAACGTATGGTACTTCTGGTGAGGCTCAAGAGGTGATACTGAAAAAATCGGTATGGTACTCCCATTCTGACAAAACTCTACACACGATTACCGCTCCTCTTTTTCTGGATCTCATATCCTGAACTTTTTACATGCAATTGCCACCAAATGTCAAATCACGTATGCGTGGGATTTTCGTGGAGAATATCGGCGTTCTTTTCCCTTTCGCAAACTGCGGTCGCTTTTCTTTTCAAATAGTTTTTTTTTTTCGTCGTGATAAGCACTTTTCTAATTCCCTCTCCCCTCCTTGAAGGGGGAATCGAGAGCATACTGCTTGCTTTGTTGATGACTGGTAAGCGTCAGCCATTAGTGAGTACTACTTGCATTTGCGAGAAAGTAAACGACCACTCGGGCAACCTCCGTGAGGTGGTATGTATACAATGAACAGGCGATGGATACTAACAGAAGATACATGATCGAAAACAGAGCCGCGGCCGATGTAGAGAAACGTTCCAGTGACAAGACAGAAATGGGATTATTCACAATGACTGCCACTCGAGTAGTTTTGGCTTTCTTGGTACGGTGCTTTGTAAAAACCCTGGATAAAGGATTATCAAAAACCAAAATTCTTGAAGTTTGAATACTAGCCTGTCCAAGTGTTTCTATCGGGGGAAATCGTTTAGCCTACTTTCAGAATACTACTTTCAGAATTTGAAAAAAATAGAGTGGCCAACAGGCTCAACGTAAGTGATGCAGCATTGGTCAAAGCATTTGGTAAATTAAACAAATGTAGCAAACTGCAACTCAGTA